GAAAACACAAAAACAGTTCAAAGAGTTATCTTTAGTACCTTCCCTCTTTATTTATTCATTTACTTATTTTGAGATGGAGTCTCACACTGCCTTCCGGGGTCAAGCAATTCTTCTGCCTCAGCCTCCCAGGTAGCTGGGACTACAGGCACCCAGCATCATGCCTTGGCTAATTTTTGTATTTTCAGTAGAGATGGGGTTTCACCATATTGGTCAGGCTGGTCTCGAACTCCTGACCTCGTGATCTGTCCACCTTGGCCTCCCAAAGGGCTAGGATTACAGGTGTGAGCCACCGTGATACTCCTCCTTTTTTAAAAAGGTTAGAAACAACAAATGTCAGCTTAGTAAAATCATCTTCTAAATAACATCCCACTAATTTGAGATTACACAGGGAAATAATTGTATGCTATCCTAGGTCTCAGAAAAACATGTTCTCATTAGAGGCAGAAAAATGGTTAAGAAAACTGTCACAAAGGGTTTTTGGGAATCATATTAACTAACAAGTCACTTTAGTTCTTCTGGAGTGGAGCTCAGTAGAAAATAAAATCATAGAAACAAAGTTCTTCTGTCTAGAAGGCTGTCGCCCAATTTCTCTCCAGCAGGAGAGGATGTGTCGATTCTGTGAGAGGTAACTCCTCCTCAGGGGTAGTCGATGGACCCCACCTACACTGAGCCACCTACCCACCTCCTTGCTAGAGGCATTTCAGCCAAGAAGAAAGACTTTCCCTTGGCCTTTTCCAACGGAGAGGCATAGCTGTGTGGGTACCCAGGGATAAGGAGAAACATTTCAATCATTTAGAGACTAGAAGAACTAAATATTATTGATGAGCATTATTCATTTCTCTATAAATCATAATAAAGATGTATGTTTGGTAGGAAATTATCAAGATTAAAACCTTCGAGATTAATAACAGTCAAAAAGGCAAGGTAATTCAATTTAACCAACACTTACTGACCGTGTACTAAGAGCCCACTTCTATTCTAGGGCTGTGGAGATACAAAGACGAATGACATAAAAGTGTAGCCCTCAGACAGCTTACTTTCTAGTAAAATATATAAACTCTATAAACGAATAGCTAGAAACAAATGAGTAGCAAGTTTCAAAAGGGCCAGGGAGGTAGTTATCCTGAACAAAATAAGCTGAATATAAAAATGACAAACTCTCAGAAATGGAAGCAAACAGTTTATTCTTATTAAGTTGTGGTACAGGTATATAACAAAGTAAATATATATAATATTGATATGCTATTTTATATTAAATTTTAAAAACTAATTGAAAAGGGAAAATAATTATTGCTATATCTTTATTTCATAATTCATTACTGCTTTAATTTGGAATCAGAAAACTCACATCTTTCCTTCTGTACCAAAACATGTTTCAGGCCCTGTATTTTTCACTGTGACGTACAGAACGCAGCTTTAAACACTTAAGCCAGGAGGGTAGTTGGTAGTTTTTTTCAGATTAATTTTGGAGTAGAGTTGCTCCTAAACATAGGCTCTTCCTAACATGGATGGAATTACTGTCAATGGTTCTTATATCTAGAATCACCGCTTCCAAAATGTGTGTACAATCTTGGCTTTCAGCATTGTTCTACTTAGACTTCACATAGACGTCAGTACCATTTCTGCACTACAGTTTGATAATGTCAAATCATAGCCCAACATAGGTACTATCAAAAAATAAGAAAGGTAAGCTACATAATGTTAGTTTATTTTCATAAAGTTTGAAGTCTGAGAATATTTTTAGAATTTGATCTTCAATAGCATTTTAAGAGAATAAATTTTAGGCTTTCATCTTCATTTCTGGAAAATGATTGCAATGTAGGAAAGTAGATGACATTATTCTTTTACAAATGAATTTCCCAAAACGTTCACTTTATCAGGACTGAGAGAAGCTCACAGATGAAACATTTGTATAATACTTGTGACTGTACCTATAGAAAAATAGTCAAAATGTATAGATAAGTTGTAGAGTCAGCAAAAAGCTCAGGACTTTGGGCTAATCTTCACTGCTAAGCAGAGATAGGGCCATCCCCTGTGATGACATTAACAGTTAAAAAAATCTCTTCTGCACCACAGTGCAAGTAAGCCAGAAAATTCATTAAGTAAATGTTGACCTGATTTTGCTCAAAGGCATAGAACAATAGCCAATTTGTGGTATTAGTTACTGAATCCATGGCTTCTCCCATTTTAGCTTTGTGCCCAAAGCAATTTCTGATGAATGAGGAAAGTAATGGACTTAGGGATAGTGTCCCTACAAAATAGTACCACCTCTGGGCTGTTGCTTGACAGGCCTGACATCAACTCCACCAATCCTGAGAGCTCCATCTGTAGTAACACTCAGTGACTTGGACCAGTGCATTCTACATCCAAATGGTCTGAGACCTTTTTCATAACACAGTCAGCCATTTCCTGATGTTTTGCCTTTCATGGGCTCCTTGTCCTGAAGTTTTTTGACCCCTTCAAAATTCTCACCACACCACAAATAAATATAGTTAACAGTGTGCTCTTCTTTATATCTGTGTTCTCATTTGCTGCAAGAGAAAATGCCACCAATAAATTAACTGGACCTGAAAGTTCTCAATGTTATTTTTAAAATACCAAGCTACAGAGTTGCTTGTTAGACTAACATTTACAAATGGCTGTTGAGGGTCTGGACACATAATTTCTGCAGCATTCAAAATAGACTCTTGTTATAAACTGTGTTGTCTGTAAAAAGGTTTTGATGCCCAGGCAATTTTTTCACTTAATAAAGAACTGTATTTCACAGCAGCTCGCTGATTTTATTCTCATTCAGAAACAAATGCTGCCATTTCTTCAGTCCATTAAATTTTCTAACATCCATCTTTTCTGTGTACCATTCAAGCTGATTTTTTTAAATGGTGCCTTAAGATGTAATTTTTCTTTGCAAACATTCTTCGTTTGGATACTCTTCCTATCCACCCCCCCCCACCAAAAAAAAGGTGTGTTCCTATTTTTTCTTATAATAATTGTTTTTTAGGAGATGCACAAGTTCATTTTCCTCTTCTTTTTACAGTAAGAAAAATATCAATAAACACGTGGTAAAAAGCAACTACTCTTTGATTTCAGTGCTGGGAATACAACAGGAAGATGTGTAGGCTTTAATTAACTGAAAGGGCATGGTCCTCTTATTTAGGGACTGTCTACCTCATGAGAACATCAGCCCTTCACCGTCAAAGGAAGCTGAAAATCAAAACATTTTAAGAAAAATCTTCTAATTGTTCAAATATTGGTAACTTATTCAAAATTTATTAAAATACCAAGTGAATCAACACCATTCTAGTCAAGCAAAACAAGTCCACAAGCTGAGTGCCGGGGGACTGCCCATCTGCAATCTCTGGATATGCAGAGCATAACAGTAGAATGATTTATACCGTACTTTTGTTTTAGTACCTGAGAAGTAAGAGAAAAGGTACAATTATACCAACATATTCACATGGAGTATGAAATCCAAATGCCATATTTAATTTGGAAATGGTCTAATAAGGCAGTGTGATGTGGTGAAAAGGGTACTCCCCTTGAAGCCAGTCATGTTTGGGGAATCCTGGGTATTTCACTTATCAAGTTGGTTAATCTTTGATTCCTCATCTAGAAATAAGGATAAAGTGATCTGATAAGTTTGTCAAAATGATTAGAAATAAAAATGTGAGAAATAAAAATGTGAAAATTTCTTACTATACTGTCTGGCATTTGGAAAGTGTTCCATAAATGGCAGCTAGGACTGTTACTATGAAATGCAAAATATGCATTTTCAACCACATTTCTTATATGCCCCCCAAATATCACTATGCCCAGGCCCTGCTGCTCTCACTCCTGCCATCCCTCCTGCTGTTCCCATGGTTCATCTCATGGCCTGATGGTGTAGGCCCCTGCTCATCAGCACTCTCTGGAGTTTCCCACCTCCTTCCCTGGCCCATTCTTTTGCCTCTCCCTAGAATGTCTGTCCCTTTCTCCTTCGTTCAGTTAACTCCTGTGAGACTTGACCTAGCTGTCACCTCTTCTAGGAAGTCTTCCTTGCATGCCACTACCCTACAATCTAAATGGAACACTCCCTTCTTTCTGCCTTGCATTCGCCTCAGTCACAGCATTTGTCAAATGGTCTTGTAAATCGTGAGCTACTGGGAGACAGGAACTGAGTCAATCATCTCACTGTCCCTCGCACGTGGGTGCGATGCTGGATCCAAAGAATTCATTCTCTCCTTTAGGAAGGGAAGGGAAGGGAAAGAAATCCTCCTTTTAGGAGGATCTATCCATAAAAGGATGGAATGAATAACTGAGGTGACTGGAGACCAGCATAGCAAGGGCCCACTCCTCTTCAGCTTTCCTTCTGCTTTACAAAGTTTCAAACATCTTTGGCTGCTGAGTGAGTGTTTCTCACCTTGCCTTCCCAAATCTTTCTCCTGCGGCTGTCTCCACTTTCATCCCAAAGCAATGGAGATTTCTGTTCTGGAATGGCAGGTCATGACAGAGAAGGTACATAAGTGTTACCTCCTAAAAGTCTTGTAAGTGGGAACTGGAAAGACATCTGAGAGGGTTTCTTTTGAAAGGTAATAATGAATAAAAAATAGAGCCCCTGTTTTGAGGCAAAGAAGGGGAGAACCAAAACCATAACCCAGGGTCTTTCACTTTCAGAACATGTAGCTTCTTAGCTCAGTGGGAGCAAGAATGGATCTTGTACTCTAGCGTCCATGGTCCTATAGCAGAAGAGAAAGCATCTTTTAGGATAGTGCTGCCAATAGCATGCATGGTGGCTTTGAGTAAAGAAAGACACCCCTTTCTCCAGAGGGATTCAGACCCCTTCTGGAATACTTAGTGAGAGGAAGACAGACTAGACTGCAACCCAAATGTGCCCCTCATCCAGGTACCTTTGTAAGCTACTCATACAACCTATTGAGGTAGCCCCAAGGTAAGAATTTCCTCTTGTTATGCACATTATTAGAAAAATGATGATGAATAATATGCAAATATTTATTCTTTTCTAGGAACATGGGTGACATTTGGAGGTCAAATTTCAGATGAGGTAAGTTACCTTTGGCCTCTATTATGCTGATGAAAGAAAATGCAGAGAGTGCTATATAGCGGGAGTCCTCTTCCTGGGACCCTGACATTCTACAGGGATAAAGTTTAAATCACAGGAAATGGTTAAACTGACTCAGAGATTATTGTCGATTTTATTTTGCCTGTTGTATTTTTTACATTTAGGTTATTAATAGCCCTTGAAGCTGTACATTATTTACGCAGGTTGAACAGCTAGAGAATGAAACAATTTGGAATAAATATTAGTCACTTTATTAAAAGATTGTATGGCTGTTATGTGGTTTTGCTTTATTCATTTGTTTGTTTATTTTTAGCTCCAACTAGGATGACTAACTGGTCTCAGTTTGCACAGAAGTTTTTCAATTATAGTACTGAAAACCCACATTGCAGAAACCCTCTAAGTCCTGGGAAAATGGACCAAAAAGTTGGTCATCTGCCTTGGGCAACTTAATCTAACCTCTCTGATCCTCAGTTCATCCTATATGAAATGAGATGATAATGCTAAACCTGATGGTCTGTTGAAAGGATTAACACATCATACTTGTCAGATGTTTATGTAGCCACCTGACTAGTAGGTAGCAGACCCTCAATAAATGCAGCTATGATAATTGTCTTTATCATAAAATTTTTAGATTATCATTTACACAGTCAAAACACTACTTACCAAAGTGATATTTTTATCATATCCTTTAAGGAATGCCTTCATGGAATAAGTGAGGTATGCAGGCATTGAGCACCAAGAACTCCCCTGAGGGCAATTCCTTGAGTCCCTCTGATCCTTCCTTGTCTACCTTCAGGAAGAGTCAGGGATAGTGTATCTGAGTAGATGCACTGAGTGGGATCCAGTCCCATTCTGCCTTTGACTGACCAGTAAACTCCTTGTACCCTCTACTCAGCAGGATGATGGTTAAGTTTAATGAGGTGATGCCTGTAAAGTGTTTAGTGGGGTACCTGGCCCAGAATAAGCACTTTATAAAGGTAGTTCTTACTATCATTCCTAAGGAGACACTTGGGAAACGGAGGCTTTTCTCCACGGCTCCTAAAATCACCAGTGCTATTTAGCAGATCTGAGACAGAGGTCTTAACTGTGTATTCTTATCTGCCCGAATGCCTCTTCCTGTATTGGGCACATGTCATGTTGGAGGGCTTCCCTCATGGGGGCTTCCCTGGCATGCAGACTTTAAGCTAGAGACTAGCATGCAGGACAGTTATTAGGAAGTGTTATCAGAATCAGCACAGGGCAGGGAAGAAAGCAGCACTGGGCAGACAGAGAACTTGGGTCATGATGCAGCCTCAATAGTGACCTCAGCCAACTCCATAGGGCTCTCTAAAGCCAAGATGGCTCTGCATAGTTGTCTCAGTTTAGGACAACATAAAGGACTGGGCCTTTGTGTCCTCTTACTGACCAGTCATAGGTAACACTCTCTAGCCAAGTGCAATTTCCAGAGAGGGCTGACAGAGGTAGGCCATTTGATGGCAGCATTCCCAGCAGCTCAAGGAATAAGTCCTTCAGTTCCAAAGGAGAACCTGAGGGCAAATCACAGAGTCTACTACAGGGGTCTCTCTGACTGGCACCAGGAAGGAGTGTATGGGGGAAGCACAAAGGCAAAGCCACAGAAGGCAGAGCACAGGCTATGAACTTGAAGTCTGATATAAAATAGGTGGCAAGCAGGGAGGGAGGCCTGCAGTTGACAATCCATTGTATCCAGCACATACATAACCTACTACTGCCTGGATGGTGCTTGGAAGGGAAAAATACAAAAATATCTCCCTTTTCTAAGGAGAGGGGCCAAGTAAAGTACATTATTTTTCCCTAGTCTTTACTCTCCTCTTTACAGTGTCTACTCTCTGCTGGAATGAGCCAATCTAGCCCAGGATATAGTGTGCAGGGCTGACCTCTGAGATGAAAAATTTCAAATTTTCAACTCTAAAAACTACAATAAAGCTGTCATGAATGACTTCAGAAGCACTCACCTTAGATGGAGACCAAATAAATAGCTATTGTACCTCCAGAGAGCATCTGTGGCCTTCCCTGGGTCCCCAAAGAGAGAATGCCAGCAAAGGGAAGAAGGGAGACACAGCCAGATTCAGTGCCACCCATTGCTGAATTCTTTGAGCCCAACGCTTTCTGTGTGGCAAAAATGCAGACCAACAGCAATGAGTTTACCTACTTAGATTTTCCTGCTTTTTCTCTGGCTTCAAATAATCTCAACACAAAATAGATGCAAATATGGAATACTAGGGCTGGCCACACCACAGTATGCTGAGTTAATTGTTGACAATTACATCATTGTCAACACTGCCTTGGGAGGTGAGGATGTCCCCGTCTCTGGGAGAGTTCAACTTTTATTGAATTACCGTTTGGCAGGGATATTATCCAAAGAATACAAACACCGAACTCTGTAAGGTGCCTCTCAAAGATGATTTGGCTTTATTGTAAAATAAAGATAGATGTTACTCATATGAATAATTATTTCTTTAAAATAATGATGAGAGCACATTAGCATCTTATAGCACTTAATTTTCAGAGTTTTATTTACATTTTTAAAATCTGTAAGGTAGTTAAGGTGCCTTTAACTGTAGGTAACAAAAACCCAACTCAAATCAGGTTAACCCATAAAAAAAAGTTATTTTGACTTTTAAACTAGAAGTGTAGATGAAGAGCAAGCTTCAGGGCTGCCTCAGTCAGTGACTCCCAATCTGCATCTCTTCGAGTCTCTTGACCCTATGTGCCTTTGTGTATCAACTGCTTCTTCAGGCAGAAAAGCAGCTGCTGGAATCCTAGGCCTCAATTAAAACTGTAACTCCAGGGAAAGCGTGTTGCTCGTAGAAATTCTGTAGGAACAAGTAAAAATGTTCCCAGAAGTCCCCGGGGAACCTCTCCTCGCATCTCATTGGCCAGGGTGTGTCATGTGACCTTCCTGAGCCACTCACTCATAGACACTCCCCCCCCCCAGCGCCAGTGCCCCGCTAGAGGGAGGTAAGGTCAGCTTTGCTGAGGTCTCTGGGCTCCCTGCAAGAGGAGGAGATCCCTGAACAAAATCATCCCCATTTTGCAAATGAGGAAACTGAATCTACAGAGAGGTCAAATGATTTGCCCAGGTTTATTTATCTAGTAGGTAGGACTCTTAAGGCCAGAAACCACTCTTCAGACTTAGTTGGTGATTTTTTTTTTCATTATTTCACGTTCAGGCATTCAAATCCTATGATTGGAAAATATCTCTGTCATCGTTTAGTTTAAGTTTCCATACAGAATTCTCCATCTTATCTTTAAAAGCTCTCTAGATAAGATTTTTGTACATTTTCCAATAATAATACACCAGTATGTCATATGACATAACTCAGGCTAATGTAAAATGCAAGCACAATAATTTTTAAAACAAAGGACAGTCATAATAGGGAAAACTTGTCTTAACTTTTAATCTGCAGTTAGGACATAATTTAAAAATTATAGGAACATAGGATAAACGTTTTAATGGTAATAAATTAGAAGCAGCAATAGCATACTATAATGCTAAAGAATCTGCATGGACTCCGTTTTGCTAGCTTAACAATTTTCTTGGTAGGCAAATTTTTAAAGCAACAGAAACATAGTTTATTTTGGAAGTGCTGATGAAGTAACTTTAGCCTGCCATCAAAAACATAATGGAAACATCAATTGTAATTATTTTTGAGGTGTGTAATTTTTTAAATGACTGGTAAATCAATCGGCAAAATGAAAAAAATGGCCCCTCCACTGTTGTTTATGGCTATCCCTCTATGGATATTTTTAAGCTGTGTATAGCTATTCTCTACTCTTCTGTCATAGTCACCGCTTGCTTTCAGCAGCACAAAGCAAGGAACAAGGAGCTTTGAGGTCTGTTTGCAGGCAGAAGAGTGAGGAGCTGGATTCCTAGTGAGTCAGAGGCACCCTGCTCCCTCTCTGTGTTGATTCAGTGGCTGCTCTATGATGGTGCTGAGGTTTTGCTGAACTGCGGGTGACAGGAGTTTTACAACAGTCATGGCTCTGTCTCAGCCTCAAGAAAAAAGTCACAAGCTTCAGGTCAAGAGTCACCCAGCTGCCAAAACCTATTGGCTGGGAGATAGAAGTTGAGCAATGGAGTCGCCAGTGATACAAATTGCCCTCTTTGTCAGAAAGATTAAGATGCCACAAAGAATGTTGTCAAACCAGATCTTCCCAGCAGAGCAAGAAACACAAATCTATCCACTTCGGGCAGGCTGAATCCCAGCCTTCAAGTAACCCCTCAATGCCCTTTCTGTGTCTGAGGGAAATAATACTTCTGTCCTATGGATACTGACTGAGCCTTCTTTCTTTTGCTCATTTCACTACAAGTAAGAAAAACAAGGATTGATTAGTGAGAGGTCAGTGTTCCTAAAGACCAGTAGAGGACTCAAAATTCAGGTTTGGAAAGCATTTGGTTTTTCTGACTGAACTTCCTGTCCCCTTGCAGGTTGCAGAAAGGCTGATGACAATTGCCTATGAAAGTGGTGTTAACCTCTTTGATACTGCCGAAGTCTATGCTGCTGGAAAGTAAGTCAGTACCTGCTTGTGTCACTCAAGTGGCATCTGTAGCACCAAAAGAATCAACCCAGACCATTTCCAGCATGTTGGTGAAAAGGCTCTGTCCTTCTCCTACATGTTGGTGGCTCTGCTTCGCTCTGCCCTCTACCACCATCACTAGAATTGGGGATATGGACCTTCTCTGGCCCTCTCTGCTCACCCAAACCTTCCTGCTTCTTCTGGTCCCTGCATGAAGAACGGGCTGGAGGGGGATATGACCAGGAAGCAATGTCACATCTATGTTAGGGGCAGCAGTTTGGTGTCAGAGTGGTGGCAGCGGAGAAACATTAGTTGAATACATGAGTGACCAAATGAATGAATAGATTCCAAAATGGTTGCCCAAAAGTTAGTCTCATTATTTCATAATCATATCTCATAGTTCCTCAGATGTTGACAAACTAGGACATCCACCTTGCACAGAAGCAGGAACTGCTTTTCCTGTTTACCTGCCTGTCCCTACACTAGCATTACAGGAAGATCAGGTGTCAAAGTCAGGATCCCCGAAGATGGCAAAGAATCTATTATCTTTTATAAGAGGAGATCTCAAAGCTCATTCTGAGGACAGCAAGGGCTGCAGAGAGTCCTCACTTCTTTTGTGAAAGGAGTCACATCCAGCTGCAACCTTCCTTGGAACCTAGAGCAGATTTGGAGCCCTAGGACAGGGCTTGTTAAACCAGAACACATGGGAAATGTGTCCTCCCGCCAGGCCTCAAGGTTCATGCTGTCCAGGTCCCAGCATAACCAGTACATTTCAGAATAGATCTGTGGCTCCTACTGGGAACATGGATGTCTAGCTCTCGGAACCAAGAACACTAAATAGCTGCCTAGCTGTTTGAACAGCTCTGCATTTTCTAACAGGACTGTGAAGTATAATCCCCTGCAGGCCTAATTCACCTACTTCCAGGTGAGAATTACAATCAAATTGCTGGACTTGCTGAATCAGGATGATCAGTGGATGGCCGTGTGCATTTCCTTGTGTGAGTTTCCTCCTTTTCAAGACCAGGTCTATGTTTTAAGGTCCATCAAGGAGGTTTAGAGCTCACATTCCTGATGCATTCTGTTGAATCCAAGGAGAGAAAGTAAAGGTTATAGGGCCTTGCTCCTTTCTGCCTTCTACTCCTTTCCATTGTTTTCTTCTTGTGGAATCCTGCTTAGTACCAAATGGCGCTAAGGTAGAAAAAGGGAGAAGTAAGTAGCAAGTCTGTTAGAGTCCTGTTTGTATTACTCCTGTGAGGATAATAGTTTTAATTATTGATTGTCAGCCTATAATTGAGATAGGTTTCCACCGTGAAATGCAAGGTTGCAAAAGGTAATGGAGAGACAGGGAGAAACAAAAGCAACACCAATGCAAGACTTAATGCCTGTTTCTTTGGGGCATACTCCATGGCTAACCCGCATTGTGGCTTATTACAAGCTATACACTCTAATAAAGACAGAACTTTCAGTTAAGACCAGTAATGATTAGCCATGACCCCCATCCACAGCATCCTAAGGGACCCGGTGCTAATTCCATTTATCTCCCATTCACTAAGCCTGAGAGCCCAGTTGCTTCTAACAATGTTGGTCTTACTGGGAGGGACATAGAACATTTGTCTCCTCAATCTTGGGTCCTAGCCTAGGTAGGGGGAAGAGGAGAGAACAGTGGATGCCTTCAGTATGCCTCTGCAACCCAGCCTTAGGGGCAGGAAGAACACTTCGTTATGTCTCCTTCTATTTTGCTCCTATGACAAAGTTTGTCACTGGAACCTAGGACATTCTATATGAGAGTGTTCTCTATGTGGGACATCTAAACCCACATATTGGTTCTCAATTTATACCCAGGAGTCAATATTTTCTATCTAAACAATGTGAAGTCCCATTGTCCTCCCTGGTCACAACTGAATTACTCCATAGCAATTAGAAGGAAAACTTTGACTCCCTTTGGACGCCACCAAGCAGGACATTTATATATGGGATCAGTAGTTCACAAACACCAAACTGCCAAATGACTGCTGCTGCTTGGTATCAGGACTGCAGGCGGTCTCCTGCCAGCATGTCAGGATTTGGCAGGTGCTTCTGGAATGCTCTGGAGCAGATTCTGCAGGCACAAGCAGAAACAGCGGAAACTGTGCTACCAGCCGAGAGCGGCTTCTATTTTCGGGATATGTAGGCACTGAGAGTTCAAACAAGGAATGGTTCTTATGTTCTGGATTGACTCTTGCTTTTCCAGGATACTGCATCCTAAGACATTATCTGTTTCCCCCTCCAGGGCTGAAGTGATTCTGGGGAGTATCATCAAGAAGAAAGGCTGGAGGTATTGCATTTGCCATAATTATTGTTTTTTGAAAAGATATTATTTAACACCAGAGAATGAAAAACAAAACTATATGACAGCTGACCAAAAGACTGTCAAAAAAATCAACTGTTGGTAAAGAAATGATTTATAGAGGCTTGAAAATAAATGCCAGCAAGTTCACTTCTGGTGCTTCAAAAATTATTGACCAGTCATTGATCACAATGAATTACCAAATGAAGGAGGGGATGTTCATTAAATATTTGTGCATAAAAAAGTGATAATTTCATGGCTTCTGACTGCCATTTGTGCTAATCCGTTGAAAGAAGTAACCTGACGGGAAGCTGATTATCCCCCATACACACATGCATTTATGTTTCCTGTTTATTTTATTAACTCTGGATGCAAAGAAATTATGAAACAAGAAGTCTCTTGGATAAACACCCCAAAGCTTTCTTATCTGAACATATTTAGTCAGCATCCCTCCTGTATGCCCAGGAACCCTGTTATCTGGGTACTCAGAAAAGTGCTTCATCTGCTATCCTTGAGAAACACACAGGGCTGTGCTTACACATCCCTTTCCATCACCTTCTGTAGCCAAAGACAGTGTTGTAATAAGGGAAGCTGTAACATCTATGGGTGGTGGGGAGGTAATACCTCCCCATTTCACTATAGACTTCAACTGCAACAGCCACTACTTCCCCAGCACGAGGACAGAATTAAGCAAAGCACAGCAAAGATTACAGGACAAGTTTGGGGTCCTCCTCTGTCCTAGCATAATATTTGCTGATTACCAAATAGATTACAGTGTAACCGTATTAGTGAAGACAACTGTGCAAAGTGCTGTGTACTCATGCTTTAACACTTAGCATGTATTTTCTAAATTTATTCTAGGGAAAATGGACATTCTCAAAGAGTTCAAGAGTGGTATTATTACGCTTTTGCACACATAATTTAAACTCCTCTCTAGAAAGGGAAACTAAGAAGGTGAAACATACCTGCATGTATTTTTAGGGCTGCTTACTCCTCGCTCTGAGATAAACTTTTGGTAGGAATAGAGAGCCCTGTGGAAATGGAAAACCAAACATTTATAGGAATATGAACAAATAAACTTTGGTGACCTACTTTCTCCCTCTCCCTTCTCCTCCTGCCCCACCCCAGGGAACTGTAACAATGTTAATAGAAAACTATATTCCACCTTACATATGGAAAAATATTCGTGTTCCCACTCAGTCCTTCACCTTGCCTGACTTGCCTGAGTTACTTTCCCACTCAGAGCATTGGTTCACCCATAACTGCCTAAATAGGGACTGTATCCATTCTCTACAATTGCTGCAACAAAGGACAAAAAAACTGGGTAACTTAAAATAACAGAAATTTATTATTTCATGTTTCTGAAAGCTAGAAGTCCAAAATGAAGGTTGGACTTTAAGGTTGTCAGGGCCATGCTCCCTGTGACACTCTGGGTAAGGTTTTTCCTTGCTTCCTCTTAGCTTCCGGTGGTTGCCAGCCACCCTTGGCATTCCTTGGCCTGCAGCTGCAGCACTTCAGCTCTCCTCACATGTGCCTGTGTATCTTCTAATAAAGACACCAGTCATAATGGATTAAGGGCCTACTCTACCTACTTATATCTGCAATGATCCTATTTCCAGATAAGCTCACATTCAGAGGTTCTGTGGGTTAGGACTTTAACATATATCTTTGGGGTGTACAATTCAATTATAACAGAAACCTTAGAGATAATTCCGCTAATAATACAGTGAGGTCTGCAACAAGGTGTAGGCTGCCAGAGTACATCTAAGGAAGAGGGGGAAACATCAGCACAGTAGCTCTTTTCTTTCTCAACATCCAGAGAACATTGAATCATCACTCTTCATAGCTGCAGAACCTATTTTATATACCTTTTATAGAAAATAGATTACCATGCATATTTCACAAACTTCTTGCAAATAAAATCTCAAGCTATTATTATGCCCCAAAACGCTTATATTGGTTCACAGTTGCCCCCACAAGACTGGTGAAAAGATAAACCGTGTCATTATAGCTTTGAGCCTATAAAAGCTGTTTCGATTAGCATACTTGACTTCTGGTCCTGGTGCTACCGCTTGCTAGCTGTGTTATCCGGCAGAAGTTATTACACTTCTCTGATTCTCAACTTACCCACCTGTAAAATGGACAGCATAACAGTTCATGAAGTGTCATGCTGACAGAGTGTGATAAGGTGTACAGAAGTATTTTGAAGCCTGTGCTATATCACTGTAAAGTGCATTATCACTCTCTACCCGCTCAGAAGAGTAGCTCTAATAGTCTCGGTGAGAGTCAGTGATAATTTGCCAGGCTGCTGTCTACTCTTGATATTTGAACATTAATGTTAGTGTGTATACCCATATAGGCCAAATATTTTACAGGAAGCCTAACTTTGAAAACCTAAGCCTGTGGCAGTGTTTGTATAGAATGTGCAGCTTTGAATAATCAAAAGGACTACATTCATTTTTTACAATATTCCATCCAGCTTTTTGTTGAAGGTTGAAAGTGCTTAAGGAGCCTGGGCTCCCCTGTGGCAGATTGCTGTTATAATAGGTATCATGATGTTGATGTATTAACCTGGAAAGTACATCAGCCCTTTCAAGTTGTGTAATCTCCAGGTACATATATTTATCGACCTTCCATTACAGTGATTCAAATTACTTTTCCAGGGATTAACTTCAATGGGATGGCACTGCTAACATTTTCAACACATTTTTCTTGTTGCAACCAAGTTATCAGAGTTGTCACCATCATTCCCCATCAGTTATCGTTAATCATACCAGGTTTTTATAACCGAGAGCCCTGAGGCGCTGACTCTACAGATGATGGAATTACAAATGCCTTATTTCAAGCACTCCTGAAGATTGGCCTTAACCTTTGAATCTCAAATGATTTTTTTTCTAGATCAGTGTGATCAAATTACATACCAAGGGAAACCAAATTGCACTGAGATCTGTTTCCCAATTTTATTGCATACCTGTAGTTCTCAAGACATAGTTCTTATTCCATGATCATAATGCTAGGATTGCATATCCTGCCCTTGGTTCTGCCTTTCAGAAGGTAATAAGTTTGCTGATGAGATTTGTACATTTCATTCCCTTAGCAGTAAAGTGGTAGAACCTTGAGCTGAGGATTTTAGAACTGTTTCCCTAAAATGACATTTCCATTTAATAAGACACTCAAAGACATTTTTTTCCTGTTTGTTCTAAATATTTACTATTATAATTCACTTCATCATTTAGACTTCTGTGTAGTCAATTCCTGCCTGTGAATGTGATGTTAGAAGGGATAATAACACAGAGCTGCAAGCGTTTGTGTTCCTTGGCAGAGAGTAGAGTCCTCCTGGGAGGAGTTCACATGCAGTCAGCGTTAGGCCAGATGCTGAATCCGTGTTCATTGGTGTTTGCTCGTTTGACCTCCTAAAGTGATTCACCCCCTCAGTCCTTTCACTTCCATTCCCACGCACCATTTCTGACCCTCCATACTGGCCCACCACTCACCTTCACTTTGCAACGTTGGCCTGGGCTTTCTGTCAGTTCCCAATCTGACTTGTTATCACTGCCCTCCACCTCCTCCAGCCCCTCCAGGCAAAGATCATTTCTCTTCAGACTCTCCCTCTAGGATCCAACTTTGAGTCACCCCTCACTAGCTTCCCTTTGTCTTTATTTCAGTGAGATGGATTAACAAATTTACTTCTTTGCCAGTTTTTAAAATGTGAGGTACAGTAACAGATTCTTTCTGGTACTATTATAATAATATGACTGAGTACAATAAACTGCATTTATTTACTACTTCTCTGTGTTTGTCTATTTGATATACAGGAGGTCCAGTCTGGTCATAACAACCAAACTCTACTGGGGTGGAAAGTAAGTTATTTTTCCTACTAAACAGGAAACAACTAGTAGCTCCTGGTTTATTTGCTGTTAGGCAGTTATGTTACATAAAATGAACTAAGATTAATTAGTTGAGAAAGAGGGTTTTTTTTCCCCCCCTCACACTAAGGAAATAGCAATTAGCCTAAGATTTAATTTTAGCAAGCTACTCCCGAAGAAATTTAGTGCAAAGCATGCGGTCACTTGTTACTAAGTGATTAATGTAGATTTTTCAAATACCAATCTCATACTTACAATCATTTCCAAAATAGAGTTCAAATTTCAGGAAAGAAAAATAGACACAAAGCATCACAGAAGAAAAGCTACTCAAATCTGCCAAAACTCAGAGACTTCTGCAGAATGCAAAGATAAAAATACCTTGTCTGGCTCCATGTCTAAGTCTCTGATCATTTCTGCAGAGGGCTGAAAGTACTGATCAAAAGGACCACCTCATTGGAGAATAACACGGAGCTACCTATATCACTTGCTGTCAGGCCAAATGAAAGGGAAGCGCTCTCTGTTGTGGGATGCAGAGCAGATTTCACAGGATAAATTGGCTTCTTTTGGGCCTGCTAACATTTGAACTGGTACTTACATTATTCAGCAGGCCTTAGAAGGCCAGCCTTTTTGACTAGCATGTAAGAAAACAGCAATTCCATATACCAGAGCAGTCATTGTACTGTGCTTTTCCATCTTTGAGACAGAAATCTCAAAAAAGAAAAATGCTGGAGTTTTAACAAAAAGCAAAAACAAACAAAACCTTATTTACCTTCCTATAATTGATAGGGAATTTTTTTTTAATTGGAGGCAGAGGCCAAGCCTTCTTTAGGAACCTCCTAATCAAAATGTATATGTGTATATACATGCTTGCAAACAATTTGTTTTTGCAAAATACTCTATTTTGTTGTTGGTTTTGAACCTATTTATAATGATATGAAGACAGAAAGATGTAATTTAGATTTTTATTCCTATAGTAATCTGTGTAAAAATAAAGCAACATCATGCTATGAGAAATGTGGATTTCCATTGTCCGTGTTTTGATTCACAGTGCCATTGCTTGGTGCTTTTGCAATGCTACAGAACCTTGCAGGAAATGATATACAGCCTGCAAGAACCATTTTGTAGTAGAATATGTAGTAGAATACAGTATTATCTAATATACTTATTAAAAATACTGAATGAGAATACAGTCACAAACGTGAATGGAAAATATTATATTTAAAAAGAAGCTGCAGAGGTATCGTTGTTGAAGAAACATGTTATTGATACTTTAAAACTCAAGTACCATATTTCTTTCTAATTAGCCAGAGCTTGAGAATTGGGAAGGCAAAAGTGCTTATGATTAATGGTCTGTCTTCTGGGGATTCTAATTTAACGAACATATATTTGCTTCATCACATTTTAAACAAAAATAGTTTAAAATTTTATTTTGGAATTCAAAAGGCACTTCCAAATTTGCTTCGTTTCTCAGAAAAGCTAACAAAAAATTTCAGCAGCCTGGCAATCTTACAGTAAACCCACAAACCTATGTCAGACCTTTTTATTTTCTTTAGCTTGTTTAAGAACAAGGTGAAAATGTTGTACAGTGTCTCGAGTTAAATACGGACAGAATGTGTGTGGCTGAATTGCTGTTAACTGGAGCCTGGTACTGAACCTGTTAGTGGCACGGTGACAGTCGTGGATAATTAATCTTCTGAGGTCTCCAAAGAAAAGAGGTTCAGTGTGTTGCCCACCAGACTTCTCTCCTCAGCCTCCAGTGGTGCAGAATTTGATAAGAACAGGGTATAAAATTAGCAATTCCGACTAAGAATGATTATTCTTCTGCACCTTTAAAACAGATTTAGAGAAAAAAAGAAAACACACTCTCACTCAAAGTTATTTGCTTCTTTTTCTTGGCAGAGCTGAAACAGAAAGAGGGCTGTCAAGAAAGCATATTATTGAAGGTGGGTACTTCTGCTTCAGTTTTATTTTTGGTTGTGGGCCCCTCATTCAAAAAAAAAATCAAACAAACAAGTTCAGAATATATTGGAAGAGGAAAAAGTTCTATATGAAAAGTACCACAATCAACCAAGTTTCTTCTTGGGGTTAAATATGGGGAATGCAGAGATGTAGAGGGGAGAATGGGAACTCAAAAGGAAAAGGCAAAATTGTATAGAGCTCTTCTCATTTTCAGCGATTACTAATATTAATAAAATATTCCCATAAGACTTTTTAAAAGAGCCTTATTGAGATACAATGTACATATCATAAAAGTTTACCGTTTTAAAGTGTACTTTTCATTGGTTCTCAGTATAATTATGGAGTTGTACACCAAACACCATAATCTAATGTGAAAACATTTTTATCACCCCTAAAATAAACTTTATACCCACTAGAAGTTGTTACTAAGTGATTAACGTAGATTTTTCAAATGCCAATCTCATACTTAGAATCATTTCCAAAATAGAGTGAGGAGTCCATCACCTCCTCACCCCCTCCCACAGCCCCAAGCAACCATAAATCTTCTTTTTAACTCTACAGATTTGACATTTCTGGACATTTCATGTAAATGAAATCCCATGATATATGATATTTTTTAACTGATTTCTTTCACTTAGCATAATGTTCATTCATGTTGGAGCACATGTCAGCTACTTTATTCCTTTCTTTGCCAAGTAATATTCCACTATATGGATAGCCACATTTTGTTTATTCATTTATCAGTTAAAGTACATTTGGCTTGTTTTCACATTTTGGCTACTATGAATAATGCTGCTATGAACATTTGTGTGCAAATTTTTGTGTAGTTGTGTGTTAAGACTATTATGCTTTTTAGTTTTTATTTTATTATTTTTTTGATTTTTAAAAAATATATCTTTTTTATTTCAATAGCTTTTGGGGTACAAGTGGTTTTTGGTTATATGATAAATTGTATAGCAGTGAACTCTGAGCCTTTAGTACACTCATCATTGAATAGTACACTATACTTTTTAGAAGGGTATATACATATACATAGAAAAAAATTGTAGAAAATAACCACTAAGTAATTGATTCCTGGTGCATTACTTTTGCAAGAAACTCAAAATTTTGTATAATTTAGAAATAAACAGGAAATAAAACAGTCAACAAGAACCATTATGTAATAAAGTACTGCTATTCATCTTCTCACAATCGTGAAGATTGTGAGAATTGTGAGTAATATTTATTTCTTGTTTGTCTATATATTATAAAATTTTACACTTATACTTTTTGTAGTAAAGAAAAATGCCAAAAGAGTTTATACTCGTTTGTGAAGTACAGATGTTCCCCAATTTATGATGGGATTACATCTCAATAAACCCATCTTAAATTGAGAATATCTTAAGCTGAAAATGCATTTAATGCACCTAACCTACTGAATATCATAGCTTAGCCTACCCTTCCTTAAATATGCTTAAAACACTTACATTGCCCTACAGTTGGGTAAAACCATCTAACGTAAAGTCTATTTTATAATAAAGCCTATTTTGTAATAAATTAAATGTCACATGTATTAATAATTTATTGAATACTGTTCTGAAAGTGAAAAACAGAATGTTGTATGGAAGCTCTGTGTAGTTTCTACTGAATGCATATCACTTTCACACCATTATAGAGTTGAAAAATCGTTTAAGTCAAACCATTATAAATTGTGAACTATCTGTATTTTTTTAAAAATCCAATAATTTTGTAACTTTATATTTATGATTGATCATATGAACAAGTTATTTTCTCCTTTTTTAAAAATAATTTTATTTATGAAATACTAACATCACCCAAAATGAAAAATGTGCTCTAATCTCACCACTTTAAAAATAAAAATAGATAAGGAAGCCAGGTTCTCCATTTGTTCATCCAATCTCATCCCATCCCACAGTTTGACAATCTGGTACATATCTTCTTCAACTTTTCTCTATGGTTATATTGACTTATCTATCTAACCATCCATCCAAACACTTGCTTATATTCTCTCTCTCTCTCTCTCTCTCTACACACACACACACATACACACATACACACACACATATGTATACACACACACACACAATAGAATCAGCTTACAAATATTAACCTAAACCTTGCCTTTTTCTCAATTAAAACACACAGCTTATAGATTATTTTTAGTTTTTTACATTGCATAGAATTATACAAGTGACCATCCTTAGATAAATGGGGTAGATTCCAGAATGGCATTGCTAAGTCAAAGAATCACACAAATTTTAACACAAAATTACTTTCTAAAAGGAATATGCAGCCCTGTTAGATGAGCTGGTCTTATTGATTTCCTTATTTATATATGTATTTAATTATTAGTGAGTTTAAGCTTCTTTCAATAACTTTGTGCTTCTTTTTCTGGAAATTAACTCTTCATGTTTTCAGGCTATTTTTCTTTGGATTTGTTTGTCTTGATCATAATTATTTGCAGGAGCTCTTTGTATATTAGTGATGTTCACTTTTTGTGTGGTTATGTATACCACAAATATTTTCTCCCAGGTTGTAATTTCATTATGAACTTCTTTCTCTTCATGAACCTAAGAGATAAGATTTCATTTGAGTATTTTTATTCCAGCTTGGAAGCTGGAGATCTTTATTGACCTATAAACAGTACTACATTGAACTATCTTAGACTTGCAATAGAAAAAAAAAATAGTTTCAGTATTCAATCACTGAATTTAAAATGGAGATTTTTGAAGCCAGATCTCAGAATGTGTATATATATATATATGTATGTATTCTTTGTTGATTGCCAGTGTAAACCATGTGTGTGTGTGTGTCTGTATGTGTATACATAGATATATGCCATAACAATTATATCACCCCATTGTTTCCAAAGTCTTTGTATGGGTTTGTTATATCTCACTAACTGTTTTTTTTTTAATATATTTTTAAGCATATGGGATTTGAAATCAGACAGACTTTTGTTCAAGTTCCAACTCTGTCATTTATAAGCTGGTGACTTTGTACAAGTTACTTAACCTACCTCGTCTCTGTCTCCTTAACTATAGACTATAAATATAAGAGTTACTATATGGGGATAGAAATTATACAGTTCACATTGAGCACAGTGTCTGTCACATAATAAGCACTTAATACATGTTATTTTTGTCATCATCCTTGTCCTTATAAGTCCAACTGCTAGTCTTCATTTGTGGATAAGGATATTCTTTACTAAGTAGTGATGTTTTGAAACAGCCACAATAAATGACAACCTCCTAGCCCTAAGAAAAGCTTCCAAATTCCTCACCCAATCAGCATCCCTTTCAGGCCTTATCATTCCATTTGACATTGTAAAGCTGAAGCTAACCTGCCTCTCAAAGCTGTTACTGCTCTAGCATTCCTGCTCCAACGTTTGCTCTCATAACTTTTGTTTTCTACCATGGAGTTTGTCAGTGACAAATAACTCGAGTCAGCTTGCAGAACCATGCTAAATGAACAGGGCAGCAGTATAGTGCCTGAAAAGTTCTTATTATTTTGTTCTTTCTTCTTTTTAATCTAATTAATTAGAAAAGAGAGATTCAGAAAATGGTTCACACTGGCAATCAACAAAGAAATATAAAATTAAAGAGAAAAAGAATAGAGAAGGCCTGCTACTATGCTTCTCACTGAATCTCCATTGCTTTAATATTTACCTGAGTGTGTACATAATTTCAGAGTTCTCTCTTTCTTTTATTTCTTTTATTTATTTATTTTTTTTGAGACGGAGTCTTACTCTGCCTACCAATCTAGATTGCAGTGTCGCAATCTCGGCTCACTGCAACCTCCGCCTCCAATGTTCAAGTGATTCTCCTGCTTCAGCCTCCCAAGTAGCTGGGACTACAGGCATCTGCCACCACATCCATCTAATTTTTTGGCATTTTTAGTAGAGATGGGGCTTTACCATGTTGGCCAGACTGGTCTCGAATTCCTGACTTCAGGTGATCTGCCTGCAAATAAGCATTTTTTCAAGCCTCATATGACATAATACAAATACCTTATATTTCCTCCACCTTTTAATAAGTCAGGAATTCCTTGGGAACTAATCTCTGCAAATGGATAAACCAGTTCAGCTGAAATTGAAGCTGACCCAGATTCAAACTTTAACATAAAATTTCAAACTTGAAATGGAAGAAGAATTGAGATCATTTGTTATTATGTTGGTGATGGTGGTGTTATTTTACAGTCCATCATTTCTGCCAAAGATAAAGCCTTGTGATTACAAGAGAATTAGCTCAAAGCATTTTCTAGGCTGGCTGAAATTAGGGAATTGAGTTTATTTTGCAGAAAAGCAAGGATATGAGATGAAACCCAAAATAAAGTTTAAAGAAGTTTACAAGTCATTATTTTTAGGTTTCATTGGTACTTGGTTCTGTGATGAAGGTGACCTCATTCAACATTGGAGATTTGTATACAAATTAAATTTGAGAATTACTATTAGAGGAAAAGACAGAAGTTCAAGTTGATATAGAGTTGAGGCCACTTCTGTGCTGGGTGACCTTAGCCACCTGAATTAGTTTACAGAGTATAAAATGAGGATGATTTGTGCATAATGTAGGTTTGAAAGAATTCATATTGAAAGGCCTTTTTAATGAGCCCAAAGTTTTTGACTTATATCTGTTTAGGTATAATGCTCTGCTTAGATTCACAAGAAGGAGGAAGAAATTTCATTAGTAGGTTGATTAGACTCATTTAGAGTCCCAAAGTACCCTGAGGTTCTAAAATCCAATTTACTTCAGCCATTCCACAAACATTTGTTAAACCCCAATTGAGCCAATGTTAGAATTTAGCAGAACAGATTCCTTTGGTGCTAGCGGAGGATGGTGGTTTATGCCTGTAATCTCAACAATTTAGGAGGCTGAGATGGGAGTATTGCTTGAGGTCAGAAGCTTGAGACCAGCCTGATCATTGTAGTAAGACCTTTGTCTCTAATGAAAAAATAATAAATAAATAAATTAAAATTAAGTAAAAT